TTGAAAATGGACTCTCCCCACCTGTCACCCCTCAAATGAAATGGACTCTCCCCACCTGACACCCCTCAAGTTGAAATGGACTTGTCCCACCTTTGAACACGCAAAATGGAGTGGGATCAACCCAACCAATACCCCCTAAAATAGAATGTTACATCAGCAGATGCGATGCGGCATCTCCATCATTCGTTTCCAACCATAACTCAAAAACTCGAATTGTATTATTTATTCATGTAATAAGAAATCTCAGAAAACCATAGTGAACAAAAGCAAGAAAAATATATTGAAAATATTCTACTTGACAATCTTTTAAACATACGTGCTTTAGTCATGGCCGTTACTTGACCATTAATTTTATTTTAAAGTTTGCATATATCATACATGTCCTTTACTGTTACAATGTAAATTCAACAAATTAGAATACTCAAACGGTCAGATAAAGTGTTTACAAAATGTGTAAAATTACACAACACTGCTTTAAATACAGTGAAAAAATGAAAGAGAAATGAGACCTGCTAATATAATGACATGTTGTAGAACTGCCAATTTCTGAAAGTATTCCATTTCCATTTATCCCGGTTTTGCTTTAAAACCATTATAGTGATAATAACATTTTATTGAAATATCACCTAATAAAGTATATACGTAGTCCAAATTAAGATTTTGAAGAAATTGAACTGAATCGTCAGAGCTTGGTTTTGGGTAAATTAAAAAAATGGATTCATAGTTTGCCTAAACATTGAACAAATCTAAATTTCGGCATGTAAAAGGCGTACTTAAGGTAGTGTTGAGATCTTTCCACATTCTCATTTTATATTGGAATTCGAAAGATAGCACTTCTATTTTTTTGCAGAAACCAATCTCTAAAATTGTGCCAAACAAGAACAAAGATGTAAGAAATAAAAAGGTTCTATAGAATCTTGAAAATCGTACAGGATAGATAGGCACAAGGAATATATATATATACACTTCGAAACTTCTCAAATTTGAAGGAAATGATACATCTAAGAATTGGCAGTTCGAATTTTGCTTTTCCCGATCTCAATACTGAAACATACATTTTGTATTAATAACAACTTTTTAAGTTTCAATTTTGTTCCAATTTGACAGAGCAAAGAAATACATTAAGTGCTTATGGATTCCAATATTAGTTTTGCATCTTTTAAGTCCAAATTATATTTCCCTAAAACGCATTTTATTCAAGCAAAATTGTCTGTCGTTCACAAGTGTTACAGAACATTTACAAATGATAAACAAAGCAATTGATTTCATTATTGTAAAATATAACAGCAAATGATACGGGAGTTGACCCAACTCGAGAAACTTAATCGAGTTTCAATTGTTGGTATGGTGAAAATGCTTTTTTACCTTTAAATTCGAAAGCTGTGATAAGCAAACACTGTGATAAGTACACTACAGCCTGGTATAAAAATCTAAGGGGAGAAATGTTTGGGTTTTAATAGAATCAGATACATTCAAACTCCATAAATCCCATAAATCTTAAGGTATAATTTGAAACGGAAAAGTTTGATTTGTAGGGAAAAGGGACATAATCGATCTTACTACAGCATTTCAATACGTAAAATATTTAATATATAGGCCTAAAACGTTTTGAAAATCACAGTCAAAGCTTTACACAGAGATTTTTACCATATAACGTGTGTGTGTGTGCGTGTGCGTGTGTGTGTGAGCGTGGCTGTGGCCATAATTCGGCTGAAGACTAGGCAAGCTTCTATCAGTCGCATGTGCATCTTGCAGTTTCTCAGCAAAGAAGATGGCAGTTCTGAAATATAAAAATAACGTTAATGACATAATTCGTTATACCAATGCAATGATTCAAGATTTAAAACTCTTCACCATTTCAAAACAAATAACATTGAAAGTTTACACAAATTCTTATGACACTAGGAAAGGGATGACAAGTAAAATTACGATCATAGTTATCGGATATTGTTTTCAAAGGAAATGTTCAAACGAATAGAGCCATTCCACCGGGGGATAGACTATTTACGCTAACCAATAATGCAAAATTTTAAAAAGTTCAGAAGGCAAATGATCTAATGCATACTTCCGTTTTCTCATGAACAGCAAATATTATTTGATGAATGATACAACAGTATGTTTTATGTATGTAAAACTGTTTCATTTTATGTTACTAAACGGAAAGTATCCTATGAATGCAATTTCTTTTTTAGTGTCATCATGAAAATCTATCAAATTCTCCCTCGCCTATCTGCTTCATTTGAAAACAAGAAAACGTTTTTTTTTCTAAGAAGGAAATATCTGCCTTACAGACTAATTACTAATTTTGGTAGCTGAGAAGATTCACACTGACATATCACAGCCAAATACTAAAGAAGTGATTTCAAATTACCAATTTGCTCAGGTGGCACGTTTCTGTACACAGAGGTAGGGCCTATCTGAGTGACAGTATCTGGGCACCAAAAAGTGAAAGCTAAAATTCTACGCACATTTCCAAAATCCAGTGAACTGGTAGTTTACTACGCGTGAAAATATAAGGATATTATTCCTTTTGAAATTTGAACTCTCAAAAAGCATGAAAACATCATGTAAGATGTAAGAAAAGCCCTTGATGCAAAGAACATCTCAACCATGAAAGACAAAGAATCTATTCAATATAAGTGCGAATCCTAACAAGCTTCTGACAAGCTACACTCTTAAATCTCAAATCGTAAAAGCGGAGAAGCATCTCCTTTGTTCTAACGATACCGTAGCTGTTCCTACCACGACATCTAGTTTTGTACATCAGACGTACCTTCTTTTCTATTTTTATGCGCTTTTGGTCGTTGGACGTAGGATCCATGTAACTCACAAGACATTTGCTTCAACGGTGAATGAAATAGTCGGCCTTGCCACTTTACCACACCTATCCCTGCGTCCTCTTCTTACAGGGTCCAGCTGTCAAGTGACTATTCAGGAAGACAGCTCGCACTGCGCTGAGCGACGCATTGTTATGTTAATTACAGAAGGTATGGCAATTTGGTTGAGAAGTTCCTGTTGAAACCATTCTCACAAGAGAGGTGAATCTGTATGATCTCATGAAAAATTGATAACATTTTTTTTTAAATCCTGAGCTGTTTTAACACTGACACAGGTTTTTTTATCAATCCTTCGTCTTAAAATCCCTCTTTTCAGAATGCACCAAGACCTAATATCCTATGCTCACCGTCAGTAGCTGATTGGTTTAGACAGATACAGTTCACTCACCTGTCTATTGTCATGTTAATGCAAAGGTGTGGCCCATTCTGAGTAAGGGAACAAACAGTAACTGTCATCAAAGAATATTTGGATAATTGGAAAACTCCTATTGTAAAGTCTTCTATATACAGGCATACATTTTCAGAGACAATCTATGCACGATACAGGATATTCACAATGTTAGAGGAATTTTTCTTTATTTCACCATATTGCATATTGATATATAGTAATCGACTAGAGGGATACATGTCACTTTTAAAGTTGTATTTTGATTTAACACTCATGTTAACCTAATACAGGTACACTGTACATTTCACATTTCCATTTAAGAGAAATGTTCAACCATTTTCAAATGATTTTCTTTTTCATCGAATTCAACTTAAATATATTTCAAATACAAATCTCTAACTTTTACGTTGCAACACATATTCGGGGCAGCTTTTGGTATCACTGACAACTGTCAAGCGGTCCAAATCAAAGTTCGGCCTTTCTTACAACAGATTGGACATTAAGGGAAGTTGGGTTAGGTTAGTATTATTTTATGCTTGTTGTTTGCTTCATTCTAGTTTAGATATTCAGTATAAGCCACGATGTTTTTTCTAATACTGCAACACACATTCGGGGCCTCACTGACTTTATATCCAATCTTGCGGATTTCCAAAAGGTAATTTTTAACCAATCAAATCCAATCAGCAAATTAGAAGTTAAGACAAAGACACTGTTTGTCAGGTATGGTGTGAACAGATGTGGTGGACAGCGATAGCATGAAAAGACAATGATCAGGATACAGAATTAATTTAAACTTAGCACGTTCAAGAAAATGACAATAAAATAAAATCTTTAAAGACATTTTACCATGCTATTGAAATCAAGCCATTTGAGAAACAGAGGGCAATATATTTAAACACCACTGTGTATGTAAAAATAATTGCACACCAAATAAATCTTAATAGATGAGATTTATTTAAATAACATGCATCTGTAATGGAAGATCAAAGTTGGTCTTGTCATTAAGGACTCAGCAAAATTATCTTTCTAACTGTCAATAAAAATATCATAGATGAAAAGTAAAGTCTGTAACTGCAATTTTAAAATCTAAATGTTTTTTTTACGAAATTTTGCTAAAAATTATTCTGACATAGAATAAACAAATTATAATCCCAAAATTAAGTGTTCAGTTTTGATTTGGTTATGATATAGAAATTTTGTTGCTTTCTATGCTGTGAAAAAAAACTTTAACTGATGGCACAAAAATACTACTCCAAATATGTGATCCTTTGTAAACAAGTGTTTTGGAACATCACCTGATTCAATGGAATAGAACAAAATAAACACATAAAAAATTACAGAAAACACTATTACAAAATTGTTTGACATTTATCTACAATTCTTATTCCCTCCCCCTGACATGGAAATGACTGCTAATTAAATATCAGATTTTTGACATGATAATAAGTAACAAAGCAACAAAAATATAACATTTAAGAATCTCAAGTTCGCATGGAAATTATCACAGATTTTGCAGCACTGAGCAAATATGTTGCAGAGGCCCCTCTATAATAGCTGACATCTCAGAATATCCTCTGCAACATCTGTCAAACTACTTGTATTACACAACACACACTCCATAATACATGGAAAGCTTTAAATGTGGTTTTCACTGTGATAAGGATGGGACCTTTGTAGGTTCGACATTTTGAGAAGCAATACAACATTTCAAATATTCTTTTTTACGACTTCACACAATACAAGTTATGCAGATCAAGAAAATCTCATTCAATATTTCAAATTCAACTCATCTTTTGTAGGATGTGCTAACATGTTATTCTTTTATTACCTGTTTATTTGATACATTTTTTCAGCATCTTCAGTAGACTGTTTTCACATATTAGTTTATAACAATGGCACCAGCATATATCAAAATACTTGGTACATGCTTTGATTTGGATAAGGCTCATGACTTTTTTCATGCAGAGCACATCTGGCAAAAAAACCAGACACAATGTCTGTCCATGACAATACAGTACAGTAACATAAAGTTATGATTTTCCCTCCAGAAGTGCTTTTCTGGCCATCTCAGAGAAGCGAGGGTCTAACTTTGGCGCAAAATCTGGGTAAAGTTTGGAAGCCTGGGTCCCATAGATGTCAAGTAGTTTTCTGTTTATCATAGCAAACCTGAAAGACACAAAACAAAACAAGAAATTTGTTTTTAAATACATATTAAAAAGGACAAAGCTACCACTGATTAACACTCAATAATAACCACAATTAAAACAATTAATTAAATAAGAGGCAGATCCTTTTCCAATAAAATAAAATTTCTGTCTCACTGTCCCCTCCCCTCACCCCCCCCCCCCCCCCCCTTGCCAGCACCAGCACCAGCACCACACAAACCTTACAGGGCAGGACTCACCATTTTGTATTAGAATTCCCTGCCTAAATCAAATGCTGTAGGCTCTAGCGCTTCATTGTGATGTGAATTTCAAACCATGTTTTAAAGAAGACAGCAGACTCGGAAGTTGTTTTAAGAGGAAGTTGACTGGGAGAGCCACTTCAAAGAAAGTAAACTGAGAGTGCTATTTTCAAGAGAGCAGACTGAGAATGCTGTTTTAATGAAAGTAGACTGAGAATGCTGTTTTAACGAAAGTAAACTGAGCATGTCGTTTTAAAGAGAGTATACTGAGGGTGCTGTTTTAGAGAAAGTAGACTGAGGGTGCTGTTTTAGAGTAGACTGGGAGTGCTATTTTAAGGAAGAGAGTAGACTGGGAGAGCCATTTTAAAGAGGAGTAGAATGGAAGTGCTGTTTACTTACTTTCCTCCTGTAATCTTTAATAGCCACCTCCAATATGCAGGCCTTATGCTGTGGGCTTCAAACACAGTCTGGAAGAATTTCACAACAGTCATCAAAACCTTCAGCATAAATCTAGGAATATTACCTCTTGGTATCAACAAATATAAAATATATGATTCCATATACTAACAGCTAGTGTAAAAACTTGTGAATTTTTTCAATATAAATAAATTCAATTTGCTAAGTTACTAGATCAGGCACTTATTGCATGAAATAATAGCTAAATATTTTATATGCTCATGGTATACAAAAATGACATTTATTGTTCATATTTTCAGTGGATAATTTATTCAAAATCTTCACCAAGTTGGGCACTTACTGCATGAAACAATATTGAGGTGGATATACTGTACAGCAATATATCACCACATTTTATATGAGGGACCCAGCCCTTCTTTATACCTTTAAAATATAAAATCTGAAATAAAAATTATGGTTTACATTATAAACCTGACGCAATTTGGGAAAACAGTTAACATCAAGAGAGCAATAATCCATTACAGTATATTTTAATGGTCATTTTTGAATAATGAATAATTTGAAACAATATAAATTGGAACAAAGCAACAATAAGCACTGATATACTCTATTAACAACAGGTGAAAAGTTGAACTCAAATTATGTAGTTTCAGGAAAAAGATAGAAAACAGATAGAAAACAATCTACAATATTTCAGGTAAACCACAAGAACATAAAAAAGTTAACAGTAATTTTGTTTTTCAATTTTGTTTTACCTCTGTAATTTTGGTTGCTAGATAAAGAGCCACACTGGTACTCTTATAAAACAACATGGACCACGATGCCAGGAAACCTGCCACAGCTCCATGGATAGCATGGTCTGTGTCCCTCAGCCAGCGAAGTACACAGTTCACCATCTGTTGTGGAGGGAAAAAAGGTAATAACAAAGACTAAAGAACATAGAAAGTTCATTTACTCATTTACACCCACCTTCACATAAATTTTTTATCTTCACAGATAGTTGTATCAGAACCAATTTTCCCTTTTACTTGCATTTCAAAAACAAATCCATTTGTATTTCATTAGGCAGAAATTCAATTTACAAAATCATTGGCCCAACAAACACAATCACACCAGAAAACTAAACTGAATCAGTGAACATGACTGGAGATACACTGTATGAATACCACATAATTCACTGACTTGCTAAACATACCCTGAACACAGCAGTGAAGAGCCCTAGAAATGCCCCCAAGCTGAAGTTATTTCTGTGCTTCAGAGCCTGGAGAAGGCTGCTCGGTTGCTTGGTTAGTTTGGGAAGTGCAGTGAAGCAGCCGACTGCAGCTTGGACTATGTAACCCATAGTAAATGACCTGAGGAATCCCTGAAATTAAATAGGGCATGTTTTCAGACTATTCAAGGTCCACAACTGTCCTGAAAAATATAATTGGTCTCCCAGTTTATTTATGTCAGTCTGTCCAGCACATGTTTTGTAGCTAATCACAATTAAACAAGAAGGTGACACTTCTAAACAAGTCTGTTTAAAATTGTTTGATATGTTGGCATGTTGGGAAAGCAATGTCTGACAGGTAAAATATAAGTCTAAATGCTTATCGGCCATGCATGATTTCTAGCTAGTTTTATCTGGAGAGGTTTAGACTTAACACATGTTGTTTGTATAAAACGTGGAAACTGCGACAATACTTGAAGGCTGTTAAACATAGTTTTCAGGCGGGATAATAAATCACGAGCTGGCAGAAGGGTGGATGGTGAACCATAACAGAGCCTCAACTTGTTTGACACTTAAAAACTCTGTAAATGCATCTTAACGATGGAGGTCTCTAGAAGCCAGCAACCTCCGCCAATATTACCTCCATATAGATGCAATGAATTACACCAAAACGCGTTAAGATTCTGAAACCAGATGACTAACCTAGCTTAAATATAACTCGTTGATTTAAATTGCTGAGGTGAGGTTGTCTCGCTGTCTGAGGACATGACTGTGAAGA